AGAGAGAGAGAGAGAGAGAGAGAGAGAGAGAGAGAGATGCAGGTAATAACAGTAGCTTACAACAACATTGTTGAAAGTAATAATATTATAGTTATAGTTCTGGCTACTGTGGTACAATATGTTGAAAGTATGTATTAATATCTGGCAGTATACATGTGTGACAATAGTCATAATATCTCTCATCATATCTTAACGTGTCTTATAAAGTATATTTAGTCTGTCACTCATACTTTCTGTACATTCCCATCTTGATCAGCGACGCCATCACAGACCCGTCCACCTCGCCAAAGAAGCGACCAACCTGAAAAAGACATGAAGAAAATGTATTAGTTTGTCTCATCTGTCCACACAGAGACAGAGAGATGGCCGTTACTCAACACAGTATCATCGGCTACATGACATGGATGTCTAATGTGTACAATTCTTTCACTACTACCAAGAACTGAGTCCTTGATTCAGAAAATTTTCAAGGATGCCCGTGTGTATCCTCAGCACTCTTAAAGCTCTTGAAGTTGTTTACGTAGTCAATAATATTTAATGTTAGAAATACTGAACTATATTTAATAAGAAATACTTTAGATTTCTAGCTGTTTCCCCCTGCTTCCAGCCTTTATGCTAAGCTAGGCTAATCATATCCTGATTCCAGCTCTGTATTTACCAACACAGATAAGGCAATCATTTCTATCTGAACATCTGAACCTCAGAAATAAAGTGAGTAAATGAGTGTATTTTCCAAAAATGTTGAACGATTTTCTTTAAATAAGACGTGTATGAAACAGCCTCCACCTTCCTCCTCTAGTCTATTAATCTTCTCCCTTTTCTTTGCTATGCTTCTCTGCTGCTACAATTCAGTTTCCCCTTTTTTATCCAATTTATTTCACAATGATAAGAACAAACTCCTTCAGTTTCAAATCATAAGTAGGTCTTACAGATATTAAAATGTTCCCAGTAATGACAGAGACAGAGCAGAATCAAATTATTGTCACTGCAATTCATTTCATTTCTGTTGGAAGTCTCCTCCAGCCTGCTGCTTACAGAAAACACTAGTTGTAACACAACAGATGCAAAAATAAAAATAAACGGTCTAGTTGCTGAGTAGAAATACTGGAAGGTTACAGCAGGAGTAAAAACAGATGGTGTGAGGTGTTAAACTGTGATTTAGAGTCATTTCAGTGCGTCTGCAGTGAGTCTGGCCCTCAGCAGCAGCAGCAGCAGCACCGGAGTCTCTGAATTATTCAGAGCGTTTTGTCTCAGCAGCTCTGTTCACGTTTACAAGCTGCTCTCTGCCCACTCTTTATCTCCGTCTGGACGGGATTTTCCCAGCAGCCTCGGAGGGCTCGCAGGTTGCTGAGTGTTAGCAGTAGGATGCTGCTTACACTGAAACCTGACCCTCTGTTTACCTGACAACAGCAGCAGCAGCAGCAGCAGCAGCAGCAGCAGCAGCAGAGGGTAAACGTGCTGGAATAAACTAAAAAATAAGCAGTGAAAGCATCAAATTTCTGCCAGAAGCTCTGCAGCAAAACACAGCTTCACTTCTGCTTCAAGTCTTTTTTATTACTGCTGTATTATATTCAGGATTGCACCAGCACTCTGAGAGAACAGCTACTAGTAAAACATCATATCATTAAATCACAGATGGTCTGCACGGATTGGAGCAGCTCCCATTCTGAGTCAAGGTCTGAGGATTAAAGGAAGAAGTGTCTGTTTGTCCTGCGGTCCAACACTTTGGTCCACAGTCAAATCAACAACTGTTGGACGGATCGCCTTAAAATTGTGGTTAAGACCTCCACGAGGATAAATCCTAAAATCTTTATGGAGTGTTACACTAATAGGTGCCATGCCATTGTTCCAACTGCCTGTTATTTGGAAACCCCAATAGTCTTAAAAATTGTCCCGAAAGCCAATTTGTCAGACAGGCCATTGTCCCGAAATAAACGTCCATTGCTCCGGAAATACACACTCTCCCTGCAGTTAGAAAGATTCATGAGCTAAAATCAGTCGGCCCTACCTCTAATGTTTCACACTCTCTTTGCCCCGGCTGATTGGGAGCATCTGTGTGTATATCTGGCTGTCAGAGAGGAAGTCTGGTAACTTTCCAACAGCAACAATCGGCTGCTCCAAACATCAGACCTTTGATCTGACAAACAATCATCTGTCCATTAAGAAAAGTGAGTAGCTTGTTCTTCTGAGAGGATTAAGCCCTCACAACCATCACAATATCACTGCTGCATGGAACACTACATAATGACAACAAGGGAAAAAGGATTTTTATGGTCACACCAAATACAGGGTGAATTCTTTGAGCGGCGCAGTAACATACAAATCAATTAACGAATTCAAAGCAAAGACGTGAAGAGACAGGAATGACACCAGTGATGCAATCGTGCAATCTGTTTGGTTTCTGTGACGCTGTGTTGCAAAGCCCACAACAATAACAACAATATTTAGCAAGTAGAACAAGATGTGCTTTCCAGCCACCAGATGGCGCTATTTTCACCATCTTAATTGCTGCTGAGGCTGTCATCTGTTCCTTGTCCCATTATCCACCTTCCCTGAAAATTTCATCAAAATTTGTTCATAACTTTTTGAGTTATTTTGCAGACAAACAAACAAACAAACAAACAAACAGACAAACAGGACAACACCGGCGAAAACATAACCTCCTTGGCAATAAAGGTAATAAAGGTAATAAAGAGTGTTGCTGGGTCAGAACACGAAGCCTCTGTGTTCACTTGACTTGATTCCAGAAATTAGTTGTACTTTACAACAAAGCAGGTTAACCATTAGCTGTCTTCCCCAGTTAGTAAGCACAGCTGTTATATTTGTATATTTGTGAATATTTGCCAGTAGCTAAATACTCCAAAAAACCACTCCAGCGGCCGTATTCATACTAGCACGTGAGGCAAAAATGTTCTTTGCATTTGGTGTGTAAGCACCATTAGACTGAATTTCCATCTGTGCGGTCTGACTGCCAGCTGTAGCTTCTGTGGTACTTTTTTCCCCTACTCTGCCTCTAGTTGCCATCCCCTGATATTTTCACCTAACCCAAACCAATCGCACTTCTCTAGCTTGAACCTAATCAACCCAACCAACTAAGGCAACAAGTACCAGCCAATCAGAGGCAGAGCAGGGCGGTCATGCCTTAGCCATAGTATGAAGGTCCATTATAATACAACATGATTAGCCATGCGGTTGTGATAAAGAGGATGTGTGTTTTTTGGAGCAGTGGACGTTTGTGTTTGGGGATAATGGGCTGTCAGACAAATGGAACATTTTTCCAACTGTTGGGATTTAAGCAGACTTCACTGATTTAATCAGCCACAATTCATTGTAATATAGACGTGGTAGTTTTTTTCCAATAGCCAAGTAAAAAAACAAAACTCTACTTGAATCCCGTAGGCCCGAAAATAATATTCGACATCATTATGATACAGAAATATGTAGAAATATCAAAATGCATGTTATTTATATATGGGATATAAATCTTGTTATCTGCAGGGTACTGAACCAACTCTTCACTCTTCACTTGAACGTTTCCATGGCAACGAGTAAAACAGTCTGAAGGTTGTCTAACAGGGGCTTTCGTTCTCTGCCCTCGCAGACTTCACGTGGTGACAGTGAACTGGTCACAGTATGTATGATTGAAGTACGCAAGGCATCAGTCCACAAGTCCAGAGGGTGGACATTTGGATTCAGCCTATGACTCCAGCTGAGGCTGAATGTCTGACGGTGTCAGACTGACCTTAAGCTGAACCTGAGATGTCCTAAAATGGCCACCGTACAGAGGACACAACCTTTAAATATAGTGATTAATAATAGTAAGGAGAAGTCTTCTCTGGGCATGATGATGGTCTCTATCTGTTCAATAGTTTTCTGGTGTGTGATGAACATGGAGCTCCGTGATGATGATGATGATGATGATGATGATGGTGTGACTGCTGACTGTTAGTCCTTTCATTTCAGGGCATTATTGGACCTTATAGTTTGTGTTTATCAGTCTAACTGATGTGTTCTCCTGCAGCAGTGTCTCAGACAGGATCATTGATCAAACAGACATTTCCTCTGCACATGACCAATAACAACCCTGCGTCACCCCGCTCACCACACTTCCTCACTACGACCCATTTCTTTTAGTCAGCACTGACTTAATTTCTCTCCTGATTAAATATTTACCGAGCCCTGCAACGCACCGCGAGCTGCACCTTCACACCACACCGGAGAAGGATTCTGGGTGTTTCCACAAAACTTCCTGTAAAGTCCAGAGCTCAGCAAAACATGGAGGAAGCACTTTATCATAATATCTGCTTAGTAAGGCCACTGGGAACGCAGCAGACATGCAAATAATGAAAAATGAGCTTCTACAGTAAATGATTCTTGTTTTAAGGTTACAACACAACATTTTGCTGCTGTGTGTAGAAGTTAGATTTCCATTCACTACAACAATGTCACACAATAGTTTCATAACACATCTCTTCACTGAGATTTGTTTGAGTGAGAAGTTACAGTCATCACAAATGAAAGAAAATTAAATAATGACTTTCTTTAAGCTCTACCCTCTGGAAGTTATACTGGAGGTGTTACCAGCCGTTACTGCTCAAGATAGAAATCATTTTCTGAAACTGATTACTCAATCATCCAAAACAACTGCACCAAAGATCTAGGTTTGTACAATTCTGCATTTGCTGCCGCTAAACTTAGCTTAAAGTTTCACAATACGAGAAAAAGAAACTGTAATTGTTGTAGCAAAGGTGGAACTGGTCGAGTAGATATAGCTGTGAGCAGCTGACATGACTCGCCCACCAGCAACATCAGCCCACGACTAGCTCCCTTCGCTCCTTGGCCTCTATAAAGAGTTAAGGCTCAGACACACTGAACAGACAACAAAGATCGAGTGGCGACAAGGCCAACTGTTGCATCCCCTCAAGTCACCTGTGTCTTGACTAAAACTCTGCACTTGAACACACCGTAAAGACTACAGCCAACCAGCACGTACGTTCAGTGCCTGCCTGAGAGGAAATAACTCTCCATACAGCAGGCGATGGTCGTCTGTATTCCACTGGAAGACCAACAGGACAGATTCTAAATGCTAGCATGCTAGCCAGTTAGCACATTAACAACACAACATGATCAATCAATTACAGTGCGCCATCTGACAATGACACCAACAGTTAGGAACCATTTCTGCTGCAGGGCTCAATGGCTAAATATAATCTTCCCTAACGTATCAAGCTTGTTTAGATCTCACGCCCTCTTAACTTTAGTCGTTTGTTTGCTTTCCTCACTTTCACTTCTCTCCTCATG